TCATCAAATCAGATTTTAGTTCTAGAAGAATATATCAATAGCAGCGAGTGCTCACTCAACTGTTGAGTTTGCCGAACGCAGCCATTGTTACAAACGCTAAGCACTTCTTTGACTGGTGAATTGGCCCGACGGTGGCCTGAAGTTGTCTTGAAATAAGAGTCGACTAACATAGCCTGGGCCGATATCGCGCCGTGATTGGCGTGACCACCGTTTGTCGACATAGTGCCAACGTTGGCCCGAGAGTTGTCATTAAGTAATATTCAGCAGACGTACGTTGGGCTGACGTCGCGCCAAGATTGGGGTGACAACCGGTTGCTGATATACTGTCAACGTTGGCCTGTCGTTGGCCTGTCGTCATCGAGTAAGTGTTGGCTAATGTAGGTTGAGCCAACATCATGTTCGATTAATGACTGTCGGTTTGCCGCGATTTCGCCAACGTCGGCCCAACGTTCAACATCGGGTGAGAGTCGGCAAACCTTACCCTGAGATCTTACAAATAATTTGGATATTTCGGATTTCGCATCACGATATCTCCGTTCGTAGGACATGTAGAGGTAAAATAAACGCTTATTATATAATTCGGACCCAAGCTGTCGATTGAGCTCATATTCAGAACTCAATCGGTCCAGCCTTAATTAAAAAACCGATAATTTCGGATGCTCGTAACTCGCTAATTCGCGTAAAAGAGACAGTGCGGTCTCGCGCTGCGCGTCCACTTGGCACGAGCCACTACCGTGTCTCTTAATCTCTTGTAAAGACTGTGAGGCAACTTATGCCGGGCAAACAGGTAGACAATTGAAAACAAAAATCTCTGAACATAGATCTCATATTAATAGGAACACAACAACACATTCGGTAATTATAGATCATACAGGTTGCATCACAGTTATGATTTCTGTTGTGATGTTAAAATATCGGATAATGAGCGTAATTACAATAAGAGATTGATATCAAGGATGATTAATATAAAACAACAGAATAATAGCATAAAATTGAAACGGACACAGAACTGCTAAACCAAGTATATTTTAATTATTTTAATTTTTAGTTTGCTTTTATTTTTGACATCAAACTTGACTTTTAAATGATCGGCGAGCTCCGACGAATTGTCTCATTTTACTGTTTGACGATGTATAGCCGACATGGTATTCCGTACTGTACATTTTATTTATTATTTTATAATTTGACTAAAAAATCTTTAATTGTTTGACATCTTTACTATCAAGACTTTGAATTAGCAGTTACATTATGTGCTTGCAGTTTCCATTACGGGTGAGTTTTTGTACATTCATTTTCCCATGCTAAAATATTTATTTAATTTTGTTATTAAAGGCGTCGACTTTGTGATTTCCATCCAGCCTTGTAACTGGAAGAATGTATTCTTGACAGAAAACATAGTTTGGCTTCCCTATAGAGACTGCAAAGAATAGATTTACATTTTTCAATTTTGTATGCACAGACAACAAGCAATACTTGATATGTAACTTTTTGCGTATATTTTTCGCTGAGAAAGGTTAGAAGACTAATCAAAACGTACGAGTTTATTATCGTTTTAACGATTTTGTTTGTTTTACAGTCTCTTCAATAAATTTAATTTGGATATTGAGAGATTTTCTTGAACAATTCGAGCACCTTGAACAGCGCTTATTCCCTCGAGCCCTTTTATCTTTTTTATTGTTACTTTTCAGATAATACTCAAGATGATCTAATAAAGGTCAAAGCGTTTAAATGAACAGCACAAAGATATTATTTGCAACATAAACTGGAGTCGGTTTTTATGCTTTATCATTAAGTAATATGATTTATTTTATTCTGTCTAGCTGAGATCGCATTTGATTTTGTCGGCGTCATTAAGACTACGTTCTAAAGTTCACTTTCCAACGCGGAAAATCTACAGTTTATGTTACGTATACTATTTTCAGCACTGACAGTGAATTTTGAAAAACAGCCTATATAATATATTTGAATAGATTTTCAGTACTGGTAGTACTAAAAATGTATATCGAAACATAGCTTGTATAAATACATAAATGATTTCCTCTGCCTGTGATACTGTGACACATTTCCTAACCTCAATATAGTCGTCAACTTTAACACTTAATATCTCAGTTTGCGAGGCAGAGCGACGCTTATTTCTTTTGTTTTGATGAAAAAACGTATCGAATAAGCTTAATTTTATTTATTTTTGAGATATTCAGAGCTAAACTGTATAATTACCTAGATTATATCTAAATTTATATACTTACCTATTTCGTAGCTATCAAAAATATTATAAAAATTTTTATAAAATTATCAGTTCATCTATTTGGAGATACTGGTAGTGTCTCGGCTCTAAGCAACGCGCAGCGACACTGCTATGCCTCCTTTACGCGAACCGGAGAGTTGCGTCAGATCGAGGTTATCGGAAAGTTAATAAGGGCTAAAGCGATCAACTTCTAAGTGTGCTCAATCGATTGCAACCGCTCGAAATATATGATGAAAGTGTTTCTATTTTTTCTCTACGTATAAGCGGAGATATTGTGACGCAAAGTTCCGAACTATCATTTTTCAGATCCAAGAATTCGTCGTCATTATCAACGTCGACCGCATTCCATACATTTCTTTCATGTCCTTCCGATATTCTTTCCGCAAGGAGCGCTAGTTTCGTGTCCTTCTGACATTCTTTATATAAGAAGCGCTGGTGATATACATGATCGGCGAGCGCTGCGATCTGGAGACACTGTCGCCGCGCTAAGCATGCCGTGAGTCTGTATACCATACGATAGTGACACGATCGGTATTTTTTCAAAACAGGATCGATAAAGTTGGTAATAATAAAATACGCTGTTAATTGCTAAAAACTAGGAAATATAATGAAAAAGAAATTTATTCGATCTCGACCTCCATTTTTTATAACTTAATACGAAGATGGATCAAATATAAACGAGAATTCTTTTTTTATTATTTATTGGACGAGAATAAAAATATAAAAAAAAAACAAATTATTTTTCTACATAGTTCCTTGCTACATTAATATATTTTTGCCAGCGGATAGGCAGTTTAGTGATCCCATTTTTATAAAAAGTAGAAGTTATGTCTGCAGTTAATTGGACAAGAATTCCCCTCCACTGGCATCATCCACGAATCGTATTGTCTTCCCAATTCTTCTTTCAGCAGTCCAAACAAATGGTAATCGTATGGAAAGATTTGTCTCAATGCGATTATCATTTGTTTAAGCCGCAAAAAGCATTAGGAGGATTCGAGGACGATTCCAGTATAAAAGAATTCGTGTACAATTAGTTGCAGACACAATCTACTATTTTTAATGAAAACAGGATCGCTAAACTGCCTATCCGCTGGCAAAAATGTATTAATGTAGCAGGGAACTATGTAGAAAATAATTTGTTTTCTTTATATTTTTATTTTCGCCGAATAAATAATAAAAAAAGAATTCTCGTTTATATTTGATCCTCGTATAATATTTAACAAAAGGAGATTAAATAGAAATAAAATTATTCACTGGTATTGTTAACTAATAAGTTATAAGCAAATGGAGATCGAGATCGAATAAATCGTTTTGTCATTATCATTTTTTAACTTACAATAGTTAACAAGGGTGGCACCCAGTTGGACACGGCTCAATTGGACACGAGCCACTCACAGCGCTTGAGACTACAAAGCTCCTAGGCACCTGGTCGCTGTGATTGGTGGTGTCCAATCGAGCCGTGATTAATCGAGATCACTCCAGTTAACAATATGGTATTTACTGCGTTAGTGAAATCATTTTACTCATTCCATATTGGGTACTGGCACTGTGATTGTTTATTTATTCTTTATTCAATATTTAATCAAGCTTAATCGTGATTAACTGTCAACCGCAATTGGTCGATTCTACTAAACAGCAAAGGCGATTGATGTGCTCGCCTATGGCGCATGGACATGGGCTCGTACTTAAGTGTGCGGCAACCGATTTCGCCAGACCGCCGTCTGATTCTGTGTCGCCACCGTGAAGAGTTCTTGGCTGAGTAGTCAGGAGCCTTAATTATAGTTAACAGAGTTATCCAGATTAGGATATGGACTCGTGCTTGTATGTGTGTTACAGCGCCGCACCACGATAAATGGCCGAACTTATAGGCGTGGAAAAGTGACATTTTTACCAGTTTTGATGATGAAATTTGTGCACGATACCATTTCGTTTGCTTAATTGTGGAAATGTGACTTGTTTCGTACTCCTCAAAGTAATTTTCGATGACAACTAAAGTTATCTTGGAATTTTATACGTAAAAGTGTATATTTAATTCGTTTCAACAGCTGTTAAACCGTGTGTTTCTGCCAGAATATAGACACACTTTACGAATCTTTTACGACCATTTACTGACTATCAAGGGAGGAAAGGACATCGATTTTTAAAAGTATTTTAAAGCGATCTCTCCATTTCGTTTCATCCAAATTGTCTTTGTTTACAAATGGCATCGTGCATAAATTAACGTGTCATTCCTCGCTTCTGACATCACGATTCCAACATGGCTGCTGCGACTAATCAGGAGCCTTAATAACAATTAATAACTCGGTTTGTACGTACAAGGTCGAATTATAACTTGTAATGTATTTCCATAGTTTATTAAAACGTTTACGGCATCATCACAATTCAATTGTGAGATATCTGAGCTATGCAATGATATATATTGATCCACGTATGAAGAAGATTCTCTACTTTTCTTAGATGTGCTTGTACAAAATTGTAATAGTGCACACACACACACACACACACATACACACACATACATTAGCGAAAAATAGTCATAAAATATTACCTAATTTTTTGGGTACGTATGCAGGTTGCACAATGAAGGTAGCTGTGGCACAATTAATAACAATGTTACATTCCAAAAGTACTAATGTAAAATGGCGCACTAAAGTTCTGGAATGTTTAGCTAATTTATTTACGTCCATTGTGAACTACAGGAAACTTTGTACAAGTATACAATTGATTATGCCTCCGTTTGTGAAAATAAATTAATCTTGACGAAGATATGATTTCGGTAAGTAATCGTGAGAAAGAAACTTTACCCATAGAAGAATTTGTAAAATATGTAAATTTATTGATGTCACTAATGTCTGATATTTCGCTCGAAGTATGTCCAGATGAGAAAGTTGAGAGTTACACAGAGATTACAATTTTGAGCGAAACAGCTGCATTACTGAAAAATATCATTGTAATTATGCAATTGATTGTGGAATACATTGATACGTTGGATCAGGATTATAGCGTCAAACGTATGAAGCGTTTGTTTAAAGATAAGTTTCATGATGCATATATGAAAAATTTCTTGTCGAGGTTTCCTTATGGTAAAGTAAAGACTCTTATTAATGTATCCAGAAAACGTCAAAAAGAATTTTCTCAAATGGAATTTACGGACGGACGTTTCGAACAAAATTTGGCACTTTGTCAAATTCACGTATCGTTTACATCTCTGTTTAACTGCAACGAACAATTTCCCAAGTCTGTCAGAAGCTATTGCATATCTATTCTGGAGTATTATTATGTAATAAACACAAGTAATATTATTATCTAATTGTTATTATGTATGAGGCCTTTTTTACGAAACTTTTCTCATTTTTAGGTATTATTAAAAATTGGTGCGACTCGTCGACTTTACCTCAGCTGACTAAACTACTAAAAACTCTATTTTTGAAAGCTGAACCAATTTGGTATAGCAACTGCATTAATTTGAATCATATTTCAAGATTGATCACCGAAGCATCTTCTCGTTTACCCGAGAAAGAATTGCAATCGCATTTGTATTTAATTAGTCGTGACATTGCGTTGAACAGCAATTTAAATGTTGCACAGGCAATTGTTTTAAATAAAAAGTAAAAACTGTAAACGGTGGAAAATTTAATTTTTTTTGAGCACTCATTTAGGAATATGTGTGAGATAGCGTATAATTAAGTCAGTAGACGATCGCTAATTATTATTTGTTTCGTTTGACAGAGAAAAAGCATTTGTAAGCTTTGTTACGATCTTACCAAGTTTACACCTGAAACCGAGCATAGATGATGTCATAATTCGTATGATCAGTTAAATAGTTTTACGTTTTAAACAATGGATCCGGGAAGAACTGATAGCTAAACATGAATCTATTATCGGTAATAAGTAATATTATACAAACTTACCTTTTTAAAAAAAGGTAAAAAATACGCTAAGCATGCGTGCTTTTCGCGAAGAATCATTTGGGCCGGTTTCATCTATGCCAATTACTTAATTGGCCGTGGAACTGACAAATTGTGTTTGCTATTTAGTAGAATTGACCACTTATGATTGACAGTTAATCACCGATTCGGATTAATCGAATTGATGAAACCGGCCTTTTCTGTATAATACTAACAAGGGAACGGTCGGAACTGTCCCTCACCGATTTTAATGCGCTTTGGATATGTTGTAAAGCATCAAAAAATATTCGACCCATATTTTTTTATAGCG